TTTTGAATTGATTCCCACGATAACTGTCTCTTTGATGGTATCTTTGAATTGTTGTCAATAGGTATATTATATTTTGTTTTATTGAAGATTTTCGTTTTACATTGTTTGCATGTAGGCATGCAGACGGGTTTTACTATGGGTAATTAATTAGGTGAACTAATCACAATTAAGACAAATCTAATCATGAACTATATGTGGATGTCTTTAATGTAAATCCATGGATGAAAATGACTAGCCGATAAAAAATACCCAATGATTATTAACTGTTGATGTGATGAAATAATTTTCAACTAAGCATATATATATATATATATATATATATGAGTGTGCGTGCCTGTTATTATGTGCGAATCAATGATTAATAATTTATTCGAGATATTCACTAGGTGTAAAATCTAATAAATTATGAACTTTGGACTTTGGTAATTACCCTTTTTTATTTATGCATAAAAATACACGTATGGGGAAGCTGAATTATTGTTTGTGGAAATATCAATTGTTTTTGTTTGTTGAGGGTGGGTTTTGGATCTTTGTGGTCACATTGGTATCTTATATGTAGGCTAATTAGTAATTATTAATAGATTACCTCACTAATATCCAACATTAATATTAAGAAGTTTTATTTTATAATTATTTTATAATACTAATAACCAGGCTTAATTTGGCTCAGGCTAAGATGTTTATACCCAAAAATATATTTCTTCGTATATAAATATTTGGAATTTTATTTGGAATTCCACAATTAAAGTTATGCAATACATACTCCCAAGCAGCTTAGCTTGTTGAATATTCTCTTACTCCGGTTATGTGCATATATTAAAAGTACAAAAGAGTTATGTGCAAAAAATTCAAAATATATGGGATCATATATATGCTTATAGTGAAAGTAGAAAGGAGTCGATCATATGCACAAAGCTCATAACAAAATGGAGGTTAAGTGCTATTTACCCTATATATAATGTTTCAAGCATTTAAAAGTCCGAAAAATTATAGTTTTCATTAATTTCACATTTGATCCCTCATGTTTGAATAATTTAACACTTTCGGTCATTTTCGTCAATTTATCGTTAATCCGTCAGTTAAAGCAGTGACGGACACACACATGATTCCGTTGGTACTAACTGAAAATTGACGGAAAGTCGGAAATGACTAAAAATGTTAAATTTTTGGAAACATCAGGGACCAAATGTATTTTTTGTGAACATGGTGGATCAAATGTACAATTTGTGCAAATTTGAGGGATGAATACCTCAGAGTTGGTTGTAATTTACCCAAATCAAAACCATCCAGCAATTGCGCTTTTAACTGAAAACGCTGTCACAAAACACGACTTTCAGCAAACTTCATCGAACAAAGTAACCGGAGCAAAAGGCCGCTTAACCCCATAAACCGCTGTATTAACACTAATGGAGGGTTCAAAAAAGGAAGAGGCGAATCCATGGCGGGTACTGGAATTCTACAGCGGCATCGGTGGATTGGTAAATTAGTTCAAACTTCTTATTTTTCTTTTTTCGCAAATACTTCAATAAAAAAATTGTTTTATTTGAATTTTTATTTTTATTTTTATTTTGCGATTTTGGAAGAGGTATTCATTGATGAAGGCGGGAGTAGATGCAGTGGTTGTGGAAGCATTTGACATAAACGACGTCGCAAATGATGTTTACGAGCACAATTTCGGCCACCGTCCCCACCAGGTACCATTTTTTTTTTTTTTTTTTGATTTTTCTCTGTATGCAGTTACACTCCGAAAATTGAGTTGAATGTACTTCCTCAAGTTCATACTTCTTAAGGGGGGAAGATTCTGCACTTAAATTTTTTATTCGATAATGTGAATTAGAAATTAACGAAAGTTGTAAGATGGCCAAGTGTGTTACTTAGTGAATACTAACTGTGGATTTGCAAAAGGGGAAGTGCATTAAGCTCATTAACCTCCAGTTTGAGAACCACTTTCGATTTTCGAACACAACTTTTGAGGTCGGTCAGCTACGATACTATGTTGAGCCAGAGCTCTTTACCGAAAAATTTGATGTTACTTATTAGTGTCACAAATATATGTCTATGAGCAGGTATAATTTAAACTGGTAAGTTGGTTCGCGAGCTATGAAGTGATTTTATTTTTTGTTTTAGTTTGAGTCTTTCTAGTTACTCAAACCCTGTTGGAACTTAGGGGCATTAGTTTAAGCTGAAAAATATTCGTATACGGAAGGTTCGTGATATCAATATCAGTCATGCTGCTCTCATAACTGATTTTGCTGCTTTCATTTTGGTAAGTAGGGTAATATTCAGTCCTTGAGTGCTGTTGACCTCGACAGATATGAGGCAGATGTGTGGCTGTTATCTCCTCCTTGCCAGCCTTACACACGACAAGGTGATCGACTCTTTCTCTCTCTCTCTGTTATGGGTTCTGCTTAAGTGATTTGTATGATGGTTCTATTATATGTTATTTCGGATTAGTTATTTTCCGTTCAACTGTGGATTTCTTAAGATTCTTTTTATTAAGGTCTCCAGAAGGGTTCAGGTGATGCTAGAGCTACTTCGTTTCTGAACATTCTTGAACTTATACCACAAAGTTCACGGCCTCCACTCATGCTATTTGTGGAGAATGTTGTTGGATTTGAGGTTTGCTTTTTCTACATATGCCTTTTTCTTTCGTGGATAAGATTCAATCATCAAATTTGCTAAATCAAGCTTCAGAACAAGTTTGTGTCTCTCTAGATTCACACCAAAAAGTGCTTTTTAAATAGATTAATATATATATATTCAAGATGATTGTTGCACCTCCCCTTCTAACCAGTTCCGCCGCCGTTCTGTAATTGTTTGTTGCAGACATCTGATACACATGAAAAGATGATTAAGATGTTACGAGAGAATCATTTTGACACGCAAGAATTTATTCTAAGCCCTTTGCAGTTCGGCGTGCCATATTCTCGGCCTCGCTATTTTTGTCTGGTCTCTCTCTCTCTCTCTCACACACACACACACACACACACACACACACACACACACACACACACACACACACACACACACACACACACACACACACACACACACACACACACACAAGCATTGTTTATCCATCCATTTTTCTGCATTAATATTGATATTTCTCTGTATGCATCATTTCCGTCTCTATATTTATAAATTTATATATCCAGTTCTTCTGAGTAGATTCTGGAATAAAATGAGGTTTCATTTCGGTGCATTTCCTTTGTGACTGATCTTGGTTCTATTTTTTAACATTACTATCTAGCAAATCTAAGAGTTTTTGCATAGATTACCTGGTAATCTAATCGACTATAATTGTCCACCTAAATTGTTTAGGCGTCAACTTACACTGCAGCTTTATTAGTATGTATTGTGGCTAGCCACCTTGCTTCCAAGTTCTACCTTGTTCAGATATATCTGCCAATACGAACTAAAACAAATGCATAAACTGTATTCGTTCACTATTTGGTGGATAATTGAAGAGGTATTTATTAGAATATGATTTCTAATGCATTACAAACTGCAGGCGAAACGGAAACCTCTGTCTTTCCAGAATGCACAATTCAACAACGCGCTTCTGCGGGATCCAGGTCATATACATGGGTATGAGGAAAGCACGGTGACCAGTGAAGAAACCGAATCACCTTCATATTGGAATAAATTAATTGAAACTTGTCAACCTATACAACATTTCCTGGAAATGGAAAAAAACAGAGACGAAGTCACTTCAGAATCCAATGATATTCCCCCTAACGTTGCTGAAATGTTGATGGATTCTGAAGAAGGAAATGAATTCATTGATCCTTCAACTAAGTATTTAGTTCCCTCTAGCCTGGTAGAAAGATGGGGGAGCGCTATGGGTATCCTTATCTCCTTTTTTTTTTAATAAAAACTTTCTTTGCCCTGTCAACATATTTAAATCCATTTCTGGAGCTCCTACACTGTTGAAAATATTCCTTGATGATAGATTGTAGATATTGTTTTCCCTGAATCGAAGCGCTGCTGTTGCTTCACCAAAAGTTATTTTCGATACGTGAAGGGCACAGGTTCTCTATTGGCAACTGTTCCGGTAGGTCTGCATGAGAATCTGATCAACTTCCGTCATATATTTGAGAACTTCATATTGGCTATTGCTTGCACTTGAGTTTCTATTGAACTATCATCCAAAATACTATAGCAGTCATTCTGGCCCGGCCCGTAAAGCCCATAAACTATTATTTTCATGTTCTTGATATTTGATAACCCATGAGTTAGTCTTTATTTGTCTCCTTCAATGATGAGAGATCTTCTAGTGGCGAAAGTATCATTCTGAAAAAGAATTTTAGAAATCATTATGCACTGCATTTTTGTTGTTATGTCGTTTGATTTTTCTCTATGCACACAAGTATACTTATATCAATACTAAGTTTTGCTTGTACGAGTGTATGTGAAACATGCACGCATGTATATCTTTAGCATATATATTAAGAAACAATAACCTTCTTCGTAACTCGAAGAATATGTGATACTATTTCATCAAGTAGATTTCTTGAAGTTCAGCTTTGTATCTGAATTGTTCGATTTCTGTTGCTAATATAAGTCTTAGATGTTATCACTATGTTGTCATGCAACCTGATTGTTATGCAGGGAAAAATGAAAAACGAAACTTCTTCCTTGCACGAGCTTCGCCTTCGATATTTCACACCCCGAGAGGTATGCATGACTTTGTTATTTCTTCTAATATCATTCAGTTCTTGGCTATTAGTCCGGTTTTGTTGCCTTCGTTTTTTGTTTTCTCAAGTGTGTAATCTTCAATACCACTGGTAGGTAGCCAATCTACACTCCTTTCCAGAGGACTTCGAATTTCCACAACATGTTAGCCTAAGGCAACGGTATGTCTCTATCTTTACTTGACGTAATATTAGGACACTCGTTTCATGTTATAATACTCAGGCTGCAGTCGTAAATAAATTTTCATATTCCGATACAATGCCTTGCAGTTATGCTCTGCTCGGAAACAGCTTGAGCGTCGGAGTGGTGGGGCCGCTATTGCGCTATTTATTTACTCATCAACAATCATAGCCTTGCTACAATCTTATTAGGTAGTTTTATGGATCTTTTAAGTTATCCGATCGATCTAGTTTCATTCTTTTTCGAATGCTCTCGATTGTAATTTCTTCTTGCCCACATAATCGAAGCCATTGGCCTCATCGAATTCTTTTGTGGATGATGATTTTTTTTTTTTTTTTTTTTAATGTTTTTCAAAGTATGGATGATATTAAGTGTCTCATTTTTCTGTGAAGTAATATTATTTAAATCAGATTTGGGCTGCGAATTGTTAAATTCTGTATCAAATTTAGTCTCTAGTATTAGTCAATAAATTGAAATTTATTTGACTAACCTCAAATCTTTGACACTTGTAAATAAACTTATATAAGAGAGAAATTAATTCAAGTATACATGATAAGATATTTATAATTTACCATAATTAATTAAAAAAAAGTAAAAAAAAACAACTAAAAATAAGAGTTATGAATTTGAATTTCTTTCGGTTGACTCATTCAATACAAATTCAATAGATTTTTATAGAATTTTTTATTCTATTCCAAACAAATTCAATGAATTTGTATATATTTTCAAAATGCACCCCAACATTCATGCAACGTAATTTAGGTGAAAACAAGAGAGTGGATCACACGGCAAGAGGAGTCGCGTGAGCCAGAATATTAGGTAGTATCGTACTGTCGTGCATTGCCCACCCCCTATTTTTTCTGGTGTTGATTAAAGTTTCAAACCAATACATCTGAAATACCCATTGTACCCTCCGCCCGGATTTATGTTAAATTAAATTTAATTATATATATATTTTTTGCCCCAATTTATTTGTCCTCAAGCAAAATATACAAGCCCTAGATCATAAAACTGAAAATCAAAGGAGGTTTTTTAGAGAGCATCAGAGATCAAAACCACCTAATTCCGACTGCTGTGGTCCTATATTCTCCTCTAATTTGAAGAAAAAAAGGTCAGTGATTTTTTTTTATTTTTCTTATTGTTTATTTTTCAGTTTTAGGGTTTTGATTCCCGATACTTTGAATCTCTGAATCAATCGAAATTTGGTTGTTTAAATTGGGGATTTTGTCGGAATTCTTGTTCATCAGAAGTCTGCATTCTAATTTTGTCGTTATTCTGTTCAATTTACTTCTTATTCGGCGTTTTGTGCAGACTTAATATTTTCCCAGTGAATTTTGTTTGAAGGTTATAGATGTTTTTGAAATTTTTACATAGGTATCTCGTTTTTGAATTCCAGTGATAACTCGTTATTTAAATTTGAAATTATATTTTGATTATTTGTTTTTGTAAATTTGAAAGGATTAACTGTCACAAAAGAGGTAAAAGAAGAAGAACATGTGATATGAGCTGATCCTCGACGACTTTCTGATTTTACGGGCAGCTATAAGAAATGGACTCTTTTAATACATTTTTTTGGGGTGATATCTGTAGTTATTGCTACTTGCGCAGATAAGAGAATATATTGTTATTAGTTTGAGAGATCTAAAATATATACAGATCTTGCTGTTCTTCGAGCCTCTGTTGTTATAAAGTTTTCGCGTGATTCAGTTTTTGGTTAAGAAAGCAGCATATTGCTTGAATAACTTATTTATCCTACAACTTTGTAAAATCCGGGTTTAGTTTTTTAATTTACCCCCAATTTACTCCTGTGTTTGATAAGCTCTCAAATTTATATGCCGTTTTCTAAATCTTTTTTTTTTTTTTTTTTTTTCTATTTGTTACAGGATCTTGATATTTGTTGGATGAGATTCAAAGTAGGTGACGGATTGGAGGTTATGAACAGAAAAGAGGTTTTAGTTCCGCGGCATACCAAAAAAGTAACACCTGGTATTGCAAGTGATCGTATTGCGGGGAAGAGTTACATTGCCGGAGACATTGTTGAGGTTTTTTACCAAAATACCTGGAGGATTGCTGTCATCTTGAATATTTTGGTATTAAGAAAAAAGAATAAGTTCCAAAATCAATATTTAGTAAGGCTGCTTGGGGCGTGCTCGCAAGATTTAGTTATTGATAGATCGAATATCAGAATGAGACAAGCCTGTCACGACGATAAATGGATGTTAATGAAGAAGGTAAATTTCGTTCTTTGTTTTTTTTTTCTTTCTGCATAAGTTGAATCTTTTCCCATGCATAAATTTACACCGAGGTCTTCACTTGGAGTTAGCAACGAATGTTTAGACATTTTGTTTACTGTTCTCAATTTATGCTGTTTGTTGGTTTTTGTTTAACTCTTTCTCTCTTGTGGAATGCTTTTGATTGATTCTGCTTTTGGCTCTCATCTGAATAACTGCTCTATTTAATTGTTGAGTTTGAGGATACTCCCTCCGTTTCAAATTAATGTCGCTTTGGAGAAATTTTTTTCTTCCATATTATTTTGTCATTTTAGAATTCCAAAAATGCAGTATTTACTATTTTTCCGATTATGCCCTTATTACTCTTAGATTACTATAAGCATTCATTCATTCTCTCAAACTAAAGAAGCAATTAATGAATAGAATTAGTGGGAAGGACATTTTAGTCATATTATATGCTTTGTTTTTCTAAGATTCATACATATTATTAGTTTTCTTAATACGTGTGTTGGAACGTCTAAACCACACTTAATTTGAAACAAAGGAGTAACCTTTTTACCCTAAAAGTAATTTTTTTTGAAATATTATTGCTTATATTTGTATTATGCCTATATGTTTTCTCCATGAAGTTTATGTAGATTCAATTAATTGATAAATTTTCTCTCTCTGATCTCCTCATTTCTCTTGTTTCCAGAGTTACAAGGAATCTGATGTAATGCCCATTCAACCATCAACCTCAAATCGCTGTGGAAAGACGAGATTCCAGGTTTCACAATTCAAAGTAATGGGCAGAAATCGATCCAAAAAAGATTGCCGCATTCAGGAAGCTCACGTGATTTCTTCAAGATCCCTAAAGAGGATGTCTCCCTTCGGTTCGTCCATTGTTGAAGCACATAACGCACAAAAACGAAGAGCAGTCGAAAAAGAAGGCTCTATGCTGAAGCATAGAGTGGTTGCCACACCGGTGCTCGAAAAGGTAGATGCAGTTGCTTACCCAAAAGAAATTTCGGGTGAAAAAAACATGCATACTTCCTTTAACATTATATCAAATGGATATAATAGGACGAAGATGGGAAAACAAAATGATGTTTTTGGCGTTGCAAGTCCTGAATTAAGTACCTGTGACAGTGATGCTTCTTCTGTTGGTAGTTGTAGTGTTACCAACCGGATCCCAGAAAACTATTGTAGTCAATCTATTCCCATGCATTGTCAAGATACAGACAACCTTTGTAGTGATGCTGAGTCATCTTATGGTAAGAGAAAAAAAATCTATTTTTTTCCTCCAAAAGAGGAGTTAGAGGCAACTATACGTAAGTTGGAGTTGCATGCTTATCGCAGCACTCTTGAAGCTTTGTATGCTTCTGGTCCCTTAAGTTGGGAACAGGAAGCAATGTTGACAAATCTTCGTATTATGCTCTACATTTCAAATGACGAACATTTGAAAGAGCTGAAGCACCTAATTTCCACTAAAACTGCTAATATTGATTAGTAGTAACTAAATGTTCTTTAATCATCTAGTTACTAAATGGTTTATAGTAGGATCTAGACTTTGCTTTTTCTGTTCACAAAAATGTCAAGAGGAACACGAATGTTACACCTTGTATCTTTTGTCTGGGTTTCTTCTAAGTATAGCTGTTGGCAGTTTGTAACTAAGAGACATGTATCAAATTCCTATTCAATTACTTTAGACTCTTCTTCCAATGAAATGATGTATCCACTTAAATTGTGTCTGTTTTTGTTTTCTTTTATAATTTGTCTTTTTGTCCGTTCTGGTATTTCAGAAAATGGTAACATAAAAGCTGCATTGTGTGTGAGTGATGACGCAGTGAACGTTTTATATGCTCCATTTGGTGTAAGATGTCTTTCACGAACTGGAGTTGTGTTTATTTATTTTCTCGAATATTGTACAACTATATTGTACTATTACATATATGAAAGCACTGTTACAGAATGCTGTCATGACTACGAGCCATTAGAGTTGCATACTGTTAGTTCTGAGAATGCAGAAGTTTCATGAATCGATGCATAAGTTTGGTTTCTTTCGTTCAATTTGGCAGAAAATGTGTTGTCTGAGAATGTTATTGATCACACTTAAATCCTGTACTTTATTTTCCAGGGCTACAGTTGGAGGCATGCATCATTTGCTTCCAATGGTTTATAGATGATGATGCCAGGGTGCCTTTTCTCTTGGCATTGAACTTTGGACGATTTCACTCGTCTACTTTCAAAGAAATGCTACAGTTTTGGCTATTCCCTGGTATCGACAATTTATTCTACAGTACTCTTATTTTTTCTTTTTTGGTAAGTCCAGGCTTAACTGTACTTATAGGAACACATATAACCAATTTTTTGTTACATATTATAGATCAAGATCTCTATATACGCTTTTCTTGATCTGTTTTATTTCCCCTCGATTATCTTTTCTATATTATGGTTTATACTTCCATTCTGTCGTTTTTAAACATTGCCTTAGCAACAAAAAAACATGACAGTGTAAAAGAATAAAGAAGTTGGATGGTTGAAATTATCCACAAAATATTCGTTTTCGACGATCTCGTTACGTGTTCATAAAGAAGTATCTTGTCCCCGTTGTTTTTTTTCTTCTTTCCAAGAATCAATTGCGTATATTTGACATTGTTGTAGAACTGATATTTCGGCAAATTATTGAAAGAAGCTGGCTGCATACAGACATGCTTAAACTGTTTGCATAGTCCTGAAATGACATGTTTTATGTTATATGATTAACAATTCATAAGTGAGTATGCCAAACAAATTTAAGAATGTACTAGGATTCCTGAGGAATATTCTGGCTCACCTGGATTCCTGAGGAATATTTTGCAGTACAAAATGCTGTGGATCAGGCTTGTACATTTGGTAAAAAATCGTAGAGGTGAGTTTGGTTATCCCGTGTTTTTGTGTTAAGATTACAGTTTTTCGTAATGCTGGTATAGTGATGCAATTCATGAAATATTATTGGGTACAGATGCTGAGAAAGGAGGGTCGCTCTGTTTGCGTATGGCAGCCAACACCTCTTCAAGTAGGTCTAGATGAAATTCAAAATTCGTCTTTCCTTTAGGCGAATCTCGTTCCATGATAAGATTTCATTAATATTTCTGATATTTGAGAATTCATTTGTTATATACTGAATTTTATGAAACTGGTTTACCAGCAGCAGGTAAAGTATGTGTAATGTAATGTTGGGAAAGATCAGACATCCATTATTCTGAAGCTTCGATAAAATCGATGTCTGAAAGAGCAGCCATTGTTGAAAACTTCCAAGTGTTACCGGTAATCGCTAGAGCCCTGTTTGGCAATTGATTTTTTGGGATCATGTGAAGTGATCATCAGATAGAGCAATTGAGGTTGTCTGTA